TCCCAACTCCATCCTCACACCTGTCCCCAAATATTTAAGCCTTTACATCAAGATAACAATGATTTGGGGCTTACTTTGCTCAAAGAAATCTATTTCTTTTTCCTCTTCTCATATAAGATCTGGTACAATCTTCTACATTCTGTCTGAGGTTTAATATCTTTCTCTCCCTCCAGTCTGTACACTTCATGGCGCAGAGCCAGGCACTTCCACAGTGACTGGTGCAGGTTCTCAGTTAATATTTGTTGAATGAATGAATAAATATGCACAGCACTCTCTTATTGATTATTTGCTGATTGACTAACTGTAGTCTAATGCTGGTTGCCTAACTTTAAAAGAAGGTGAGATATGAACCCATCATATTAACTACCTACTGTGTGCCAGAGAGTGTGCTAAGCACTTTCAAGTTAAATCATCCTATATCCAGGTTTCTTCACCCTGGTACTGTTGACAGTTTTTTTGATGATTTTGTTTTCAAATTTTATTTTTTATTGAAGTATAGTTGATTTACAATGTTAGTTTCAGATATACAGTGAAGTAATTCAGTTATACATATACATACATATGTATTTTTTCAGATTCTTTTCCATTATTAACTGTAGTCCCCTGTGTTATACAGTAGGTCCTTGTTGTTTATCTATTTTATATGCACCATTGACAGTTTTGACCAGAGGATTCTTTACTGTAAGAGTGTGTCTTGTGTTCTGTAGGATATTTAGCTGCATCCCTGACTTCTACCTGTTAGATGCCAGCAGCATCCCTCCTAGTTGTGACACCAAAAAAAGTCTCCAGACAGTGCCAGATGTCCCCTGGTTGAGACTGCTGTCTTAGATAATGCTCACACGACACTTTTGGAATAGACATTATTATTCAGCTTTTTCCAATCGAGCAATTCCAGTCTCTAGAAAGTGAAATAACCCGTGTAGGCTCGTTCAGCTAGTAAGGAGTAAATGTGCGGTTACGTCCCAGAGAAGCTGGCGGCAATTTCTGTTGTTTCCACTTCACCGCTGTGTCTGTGGTGGAGTTTCAAGACAAGCAGGGCACTGGCAGAGATCTCTCAAAGCACTCTCTAAAAAAGGAAGATTAAACCAAATATGAAACAGACACTTTCATTTTGGCTATCCCAATCATTTATTTTATATTTTTGTGTATTTTTTTAAATTGAAGTATAGTCATTTTACAATGCTGTGTTAATTTCTTGTATACAGCATAATTCTTCAGTCATACATGAACATACATATATTCATTTTCATATTCTTTTTCACCATAAGTTACTGCAAGGTATTGAATATAGTTCCCTGTGCTATACAGTATGAACTTGTTTGCCTGTTTTATATATATTGGTTAGTATCTGCAAATCTAGACCTCTCAATTTATCCCTTCCCTCCCCCTCCCCTCCAACCATAAGTTTGTTTTCTATGTCTGTGGATCTGTTTCTGTTTTGTAAATAAGTTCGTTTGTCTTTTTCTGTTGTTGCTCTTTAGATTCCACGTGGAAGTGATATCATGTGGTATTTTTCTTTCTCTTTCTGGCTTACTTCACTTAGAATGACAATCTCCAGGCCCAATCATTTATTTTAATCTTCAGTGTTTTAAGTCTACCCATCCATGAAATGCACTTAATTATACCATTTTTTCTTGGATTTATAAAATTAGGCTCTTTGTGATATAATTACTTGAAGGAACATGTACAAAATAATAAAATTAACATGCATAAAATAAAATGGCATGAGTAACCACCCCACGAAAGAAATTACAGCTCTACCAATCAAGTAAGATCTTTTTTGCCACTTCTCTACCCTACACCCCCAATTTCACCCCCAATCTAGGCTCCTAGAGGAGCCAGAGGCAGGATGCCAAATGGAGGAGGGGAACAGAAAAACAAGATGAGAAATCACGTGTATCTCAATTTTTTTCTATATGTATTTATAATAATGTATCTATAAGTTAGAATTGGCAAACATTTTCTGTACTGGGCCAGATAGTAAATAGTTTAGGCTTTGTGGGTTGTAAGGACTCTGTCTCAGTTCCTCAGCTCTGCCTTTGAAAGCAGCTGTCAAAAATATAGAAATAAATGGGTGTGGCAGTGTTCCAATAAAACTTTATAAAAATAGGCAGCCAAACAGACTTTGTCCTTGAGCTGTAATTTGGGGACCCCTGCTGTAAAATATTGCTTATTTACTTGTTAATTATTTCTTACCTTTCATTAGTATGTAAATTCTAAGAAGGCAGGGATTTGGGCCAGTTTATTTACTGCTTTGTCCCAGCCCTTAGAGCAAGTCCTCCTTCACTCTGTTTTTTTTCACGAGCTTCCTGACAGATCCTAAACTTTTATACTCTTGGATAAACTCTACCCTACATCTGCTCATACTTCTCCCTCAGAAGTCCAAGGAGGAAGAGAACCAGAGTATGTGAAATTAACTTATCATGCTTATTTCCTTTTTTGTTTCAATGGTGTGTTTATGGCCACTAACATGTAAGTTCCTTGTTAGCAAGATTCTTGTGTTTTGTTCTCTACCAAGACCCCAGTGGCTAGAAAATTTTTGACACATTTTAAGTGCCTAGTAAATACTCTGTGAGTGAATGAATGAGCGCACATTTTGTTTGGATTTTCTAGAAAATACCCATTGAAATCCTGATTGGAGTTGGCAGTGCGCTGCTCATGTTCTTCAAACAACAGGAAACTCAAATGCTTGGAGGGTTGTGAGCAAGGAAGAGAAGATGGAAGTTGAGGGGTATGGGGCAGGAAGAGGGGTCCAGAATAATGTCTATGTTTGTGTGAGCAGAGATAAAAGCATAGAAGGATCCAGCCCCAAATAGTAACATTTTAGAACAACGGAGAAGAATGGAATTGAAGAGGAGAGGAGAAGGATGATAACTTTCTGTATCTCTGTTTGCTTTGTTATAATGAGTACTCTTGCAGTTGATAAATCCAACAAGCATAAAAATGTATTTGTACAACTCCCACACTTACAAGAAATATTTGAGTCGAAAACAGAAAAGAATAAATCCCATAGACAGGTACAAATGATAATAGAAACATTAAAAGATATTAAAGACCAAGCTATAACTCTAGGTAAAAATGAGGCAGGAGAGAAGAAGAGAAAGGAAATTATGAGAGGAAACAGCTTTGCCAGAAAAATCTAACTTTTGCAGTTCAGCCCACAATGTAACTTTCCAATTCTTGGCAGATGAAGCAAAAAAGTAATATGATAAAGGTGCCAGTAAGAGTGAAGGGTAAACTAAATCCAAAAGCTATTTGGAAGAGAGAATTACTCAAACGTGGACTGACTTGTCCTTTTGGTACAGATGTACCGTCAAGCACATCCTATTTTAGCAAGATCTTGTAAGGCATATGTGTGATGACTAAATCACTTCATAGATGAGAAAGTCTCTCTGAAAACTATTAAGTTAACATTTCATGTAATAACTGTGGATTTCACAGATTACCGTCTTAAACTAGTTTAAGATATTCCTATCCAGAAAATATTCATTTCGCTTTTTTTTAAAGATGAAACTGTGAGAGTTTTTTCCTTCGACAGTTTTGCACATTGATTTTTTGTTCATTTTAGTTTCAGCCTATGGGAGCTGTGTGCCGAGAAGCAGTAAATGATTGTGATATTCGTGAGACCTGCTCAGGAAATTCAAGCCAGGTAACTTATGAATAATTGCTCTAAGCTAAATGGGAAAAAGTAAGAGTATGTTTAGTACACCGACCCCTAGGTGAAATGGAAATGGACAAGTTGCCCATGTTTCTCTTTCATGTCAACTTGTACTCTCTTTTTATTCATTTTTCAGGAATTGAAGTTTCAGTAATCAGAGCTTGAGCAGATGTTTGGCATAGTTTTGTCTTAATGTTAAACTAACCGAAGACTGCGTGCGTGCCTTAACTATTTTGTTTTTAAGAAGAGAGTAAAAGGCATTTGTTTTTTGTCTAGCTAGTGAAGGAGGAAACAAAAAGACTCTTTCTCTTCAACTTGTTGAAACAGGGGCCAGCCAAGGCAGAGAGACCCACCAGGTATTGGGTTATGAGAAGAAGCCTATTTCTCTGTCTTGACTCTCGTTTATCAAAGACATCTTGCCATTAATAGTGACTCTTGAATTTAACATCATTTAGTTGTCAATAGAGAAGATAGGGAAGTTGATGAACTTGACAAAGGGTCACAGATTTCAGTGTGTATATATACATATATATATATATATATACTGGCAGTCCTTGCTTTGCATAGTAGTGTAAAGACTATAAAAATGACTATGCCAGCTGAAACTGGGTAAAGTCATCTTAGTAATCAATGGAAAAAATTACAGTTATCCTACAATCTTTAAAAAAGGTTGTCAGTTTATTAGAAACGCTTTTCCTGTTGGTTATAAATTAATAGAGAAATGAAGAAATCAACTATTATCTTCTTAGCACGTGAAATTAAAACAGAAACATTGAGCAGTAAAGTATTTTATTTCTTTGTGAACAACTTATCAGTAGTTTGAGCTGTGCTTTGCCTTCTCTTTGTCATGAACCTTGCAAAACTTAGTGTTTTTTCCTATGCCTTGTTGAGTTGCCACATTCCTTTCTAAGTTTGAGTCAGCTTTTGACATTTTATTCGTTGTGCTTTAAATGTCATGAAGTATCTCCAAGAGATGGGAGAAGTTGTGAACGTGAAGTTTTTTTGCCAAACAGCAGTATCTGTAGTCCCATGGTCAGCAATGTTTTTTCCATGACATCATTTATGTTTGATTTGAATTTCACTTCCAGTGCCATCACTTTTCATTTCTTTGCTGCACTTTCATCTTTGTTGGCCAATTCCCTCTTTCAATTATCTGATTTTGTAAATATCATGTGATATCACCCAGAGGCAGAAAGGCAACTCAGCAACACACTTTGCTGTCTGTGCATGAACTGAATGAACACATGGGCAGCGACCAATCACTGACAGACTTTGAAAGTGACAGGATGGGTCATTGACTAAGATGGGCATCCCTTATTTACCTAGTGACCAGTGGACTAAAGAACTAGTAGCAAAGGTTGTACTTTATGTAATTACTCACAGTTAATCTACTGTGGGAACTGAAATTGAAACTGTGTTCTTGAGGTGCTGGTGTTATTTAACAAAACCATGGTAACTGAGATTCATGCATATTGGAGCCATGTAGAGTGAAGACTGCCCGCATCTTTTTTTTTCTCTAGAGAAGAGGGATTTAATAATGGTAAAACTACTTTAACCATTAAAAATGCTTTATTTTAAAGGGAGTCAGCCTAAGAGATTAAAGATCTTGCGTGGGAAAAGTATTTTTCTTTTTTGCTATTTAATTAGTGTTGTCTTTCTAAGCTATCACCTAGTGATGATGAAGATACAATGAATGATTACCTCATTGGCTCCAGGAGGGAAAGTATATTGGAACAACTTCTTTGGAATGTGGTTATACAATAAGCAGGAATATTAAAAAGAATTCTAAATTCAAAAATGGTGTATGTGCAAAGATGCTCATGTTGCATTGGTTGTAACAGAGTGAGTTTGAGATAATTATAAGTGAGTATTTTAGTACATTGACTATATGGTTTGTTAGCTCAGGGCAATGTGTTGCAGCTATTAAAGATGATACCTATATAAAATTTTATTATGACATGAGGAAATTTGCCTAATGAAAGTAAAGGAATGAAGCAGAATATAAAAAATTATCTATAACTTGATTATATCCATGTTTAACAGTATTCTATTTTGTGGAAAAAGGTAGAGAACATATGAACCAAAATATAAAAAATAGTCCTGTCTTTGGATGGTGGGAATGTGAAAGATTTTTATGTTTTTCATTTTTCTTACCTTTTTACATTTCCTCACTTTTCTCAAATAAGTATGTAATTACTATAATGACAGAAAAACGTTTAATAAATTTTAAAAAACTGTCTGTTCATATCCACATAAGAATGCTTTGCAATCTTTTCTGAAATTGCTACAAGGAAAAAAATGGCAGGGAGGATGGGTGGGTTATAAAGCATCTTTTTCCAACATGTACTGGGTAGACTTTTGCTCCAGAATCATTTTAAATACAGAGGCTGTGTTATTTCTCATGGTAAAAAGGAGGAAACTATAGCTATTACTCCGTCTGGCATCCTCCTTGTTTTTGTTTTGAGCCCTTGTTGTTTTTTTGCTCTGAGGAATTGAGTATCTGTATAAGTTAGCTGAGTCACTGATGTCAGTTCTTTTTATTTGTGAATAAAGATTTATAAATCACCTAATTGGGCCCCCAGCAGAGCCATAGTTTTAGGGGAAGGTATACCAATTGTTGCATTTCCTTTTGTTTTCTGGCAAATCTTTTTTTGTTTTTATTTTCAGATGGTTTAAGAGACTACCTCCTATTGTCAGACTTCATTTTTGTTTTTTAAATTTTTTTGTTGCAGTATAGTCTATTTGCAGTGTTGTGTTAATTTCTGGTGTACAACATAGTGATTTGTTTATACATATATATTCCTTTTCATATTCTTTTTCATTATAGGCTATTACAAGATATGGAATATAGTTCCCTGTGCCATACAATAGGAGCTTGTTGTTTATCTATTTCATATATTAGTTTAAATCTAAAACCTATATATTAGGTTAAATCCTAAACTCCCAATTTATCCCTCCCTACTGTTCTTCCCTCTGGAAACCATAAGTTTGTTTTCTATGCCTGTGAGTCTGTCTCTGGTTTGTAAATAAGTTAACAGACTTTATTTTTAAAATGCAGACATAAAAGGAATTGGTTCATCTTGACATTTTGCTGTGCATTCAGTTCATAGTGCTGTTTTCTTTTTCTAGTGTGCCCCAAATATTCATAAAATGGATGGCTATTCATGTGATGGTGTTCAGGTAAGTTACTTCATCTTTACCTAAATTTTTCATGTGTACCAGCATGAAAGAAATACTGAGGTCTTATCATAGTAGGAAGGTTAGATTAAATGTTTTGTAATCAGTTCTGAAGATAAGAGACTTTTATAATACTCATCTTGTTTTCCTGGTCATTTTTACTTTTTCAGTTATCTGACGTAAGCAGACTGTGTATTGCTAATGGGTATGCTTTTTCATTTTAGGGAATTTGCTTTGGAGGAAGATGTAAAACCAGGGATAGACAGTGCAAATACATCTGGGGGCAAAGTGAGTAAATAGCGTGGCTTGATCATTTTCAAAGTTTGGTATCAGGCCCAAGGACATGGGAGCTGGAAGTAAATTTTCAACCACTTCATGGCAAGGGGATTCTCAAAGCCATAGCAGGTCTTAACAGGGCACTGTTGTGGAAATGAGAGAAAGGTACCTCCTTGGAGAAGACACGGCCCCATACCTCTTGGCTAGTTGGCTGTACCTTTGGACAGAAGATGCTTTTTGCTGCCAGGCAGGTGACGTCCACTCCAGGACATGAAGCTTGGAGAATAGAGCAAACCTGGATTTCAGCTCCTCTTATACTCTCTTGAGCTAAGTGTCCCTAGACAAAACCCATACAGTCCCGTGGGATAGATGGAGACCCTGGATAGGACACCCTTGGCTAAAACTGTAGCATTTTAGCTAAAGTTGCTTTTTTTCCCCTTTATTTTCTTTCTTAAACTCTAGCTGGCTTTCCTGGTGATAGGTAAATTTCTATTGGGATAGCTCTGCCATATCAGAAAGAAATTTTAATGTTACTCCCTTCAAAATTTGTCACATTTTGGAGAGAAATATGTATATATATAACACTTATCATTTAAAATATTATGGAATTTAAATGTATATTTAAATGTTGTGTATTATATTTTTTCAGAAGTGTTACTAGCCCTTCTGAAAGCGATTTTTGTTTCAAAGTCTTTCAAAAGACGATTTGTGTAAGAAAACAAACCCTAAAGGTAATGATGTCTTTAACTGTCACAAACAGTGGCTGTAATCCTTTTGGGAGGGGAAGGGTATGCTCTCTTCTGAACAACTAGAGAAACACTGGGATAGGAGAAAAATTTAGTCATGTAGGTTTATGCTCTGCTTCTGCTTCCTCCCCTTGAGGGAAAATAGGAGCTGATAGCAAGAAGTAGGAAAAGAAACTACCAACGTAATTAGTTTAAAATACATATCCACAGCAACAGTCGTCTTTTGATAAGTTTCCAAGAGTCACTTTGAGCTAACTCTTGGAGAGCTCCATCAACCAACCTTGGCTTTAGCCAAGATAAAATCCTGACGAAGATGCTGATATCACTTAAAAATGTTATTTAACTTTAAGAGATTTAGCATGAATTCAGCTTTGTCTAAAAAACAGAATAAACTTTTGATAGCTATTAAGAATTAATAAACAAGGTGGAAATAATGCTGTTTCTTGAATCTTTAATTGTAGTACATCACTGTTTTATAAAACTATCTTTATGATTTATAGAAGTTGCTAAGTGAGAAATTCATGCTTTATATGTGACACTGAGGTTAAAGCATTTAGTATTTATTCAAGGAACCATTTGGTAGCATCTTCTCCTAATTGGCCAAATTCTGTGGAGTGTTGCTCTTAGCACTTATGGCCTGAATTCTATAAATGATCTAAATAGATTTGTTTTCCAATTAAAAAGAAAAACAAAACTCTCATCTTCTCTTAGCTCTGCTTTCTTCTGTGTTAGTTTCATTCTTTTTGTTTATTTTGTTTGACCACCTTAATTATTTTGGGGGAGAAATAATTAGGTTTGCTTATTTTTATTTTATTGTTTTTAATGGAGGTACTAGGGATTGAACCCAGGACCTCATGCATGCCAAGCATGAGGTTATAACTGAGCTATACCCTACCCGCTATTTGCCAAATTTTAAATGAGCATTTATGAAGAATGTCCCTGAGTCATGGATGCTCGTGGTGTGGGAGAACTCTTGTGAACCATGAGTCCAGTTTTTGGATCTGATAACATTGTAGTGAAGAAGAGTCCTTCACTGGCATTTTCCTCTTACTGCAAACGTTTTGAGCAGCTCACATGGTATATCCCTCACTGATAGAAAACTATTCTTCTTCAGAGGTGACGGCATCAGACAAATACTGCTATGAGAAACTGAATATTGAAGGGACGGAGAAGGGTAACTGTGGAAAAGACAAAGACACATGGATACAGTGCAACAAACGGTGAGATAGAGGAGTCAGCCCAGAGTTTATACCTCTCTTGGTTACAAGCACTACTTTTTGAGTGACCAGGCTTTTCCTACAATGCATTCTGTTGCCTATTCACCTCATCTCTTTCCAGAGTTCCAGCATCACTTTTGTAGAAGGCTCGCAAATATTAGCATGTATCCTGACCTCTCCCCTAAGATGCACGGCCATGTTTGTAGCTGCCTTGGGACTTTCTCACCTAGAAGACCCCTGCCAGTGTCTCAAAGGCAACAAAGATGAAAGTCAACAGAACATGTGCTCAGTACTGTTGGAATGACCATGTCAGTTCTTTGTTCAAATTTCACTGGTTCCACATAGCTAATTAATAGTAAGAATAAGACCCACAATCTGTTGAGGGCACACTGTGTGCTAAGCACTATGTCACACTTTACATAAACTGTGTCATTTAATCTTCATGGCAGTTTGCCCCATTTTATGGAGGAGAAAACTGAGGCACAGTTAATTAATTTGAAAAAGCTCATATAGCTAGGAAATAATAGAAGCAGAATTAGAATTCAAGCAGTCCAAATTTAGAACTGTTTCTTAGCTACTTTGCTGCATATCCTACTGTCTTGTTTAACAAATGGAATGGAACCTTAGCTTGGCACTGGACCTCCTCTACAGCTTGCCACCAACCTACAGTTCTATTTTTTCTTCTCTACTCTTCCAAAGTCGAGCAAACCTCACCATTTCTAGTACATTTTATTGTCCTACCTCCACCCCTGTGCTTGTGCTATTCATTCCTCAGGAAGCACCCTTTATACTCACTCCATTATCAGTCAAAAATTTATCCATCCTCAAAGCTTCACTTGGACAGTACTTGCTCTGTAAATTGTTTCTGGGTTTACTCCAGAAATAAGTCACCTCCCTCTTCTCTGAACTCCCACAGCCCTTTGTACTATTCTTATGGCCCTTGTCCTCAGCTCTATGTTTTATAGTTGTTCAAAGTATGTGATGCCTCTTCTTACTCAGAGTATAATTTCCTTGAGGATAAAAATAGTGTCTAATTTTTTTAGTATATCCTAATATACTTAGTAAGTGCCAACAAAAAATGTTGAATGAATATCTCTTCTGTGTTAAGAAAGCACTTTTGTTTATGATAGATAAAATAAATGATGATATAACTTCTAAAAATTACTTTTTAAGAATGAATTAATACATGTTTTTTCTATGTTAGTGATAGATACAAGTCTTAATTTTTCTCTTTTCCTATCTGACCAAGCCTATTATTTCCATAGATAATCTTGTTGGCCTGCTAATCTGTCTTCACAAGATATTTATTAGAATATATATTTATTGTTATCTATATTAATAATTAAAATGTGTTAAATATAGGGAATGTGTAAATATTTAACACAAATGAAAATATTTTACAAGTTAAATTAGAGTTGTATGTGATAGCTGGGGGAGTAGTGAAATATATTGAAAAAGAAATCATTAGTCTGTGTGGTTGGGAATCTACAAAATATATGCAATATATAATCTCTTCTTTAATTCTAGGGCAATGGGTTGAAGAAAGAGCTGTGTTCTTTTAGCATTCAAAGGTCATTCATTCACTTATCAAATATTTAAAAAAATATTTTAGTATATCCAGTGATGTGTTATGGGAAAGTAGATCCTGATGTAAAAGAAGTCTATTTGATGAATAATTTCCTTTAGATAAATACTTGAACTAAGGGACAATAAAGGAAAAGCTAGAAAACAGTTGGGTATTTGATGCACCAA